AATTTGACGATGAAGTTGTGGAATTGGTTATGCAGACAATGTAGGATTGTGTTGTGATGTTGCTTTATCTACCAGACTATTATTCATATTGCCCAAACTAGTATTCATGGTTTGATGAAGTAGTATGCAAGTTGTAAATGAACTAGTAGTCAAGTTGTGAGTATTAGTGTTGTTGTTAAGCATAATTGAAGTTGTAATGATCTAGTATCGAAGTTATGACGAAGTATTATTCAGGTTATTTTGAACTAGTATTAAAGCTAGTATATGAAGTTGTATTCGAGCTGATTTGTACTACTATTTGTGTTGTACTCAACGTTAATTATTCAAGTTCAAATGAACTAGTATTAAAGTTGCTTTAAACTATTATTCAAGTTGTGACGAACTACTATTTAAACTATGTTGAACTAGTATTTGTGTTGTACTACTCGTTAATTATTCAAATTTAAATGAACTAGTATCCACACTATATTGAACTAGTATTCAAGTTGTGACGAACTAGTATTTAAGATGGTTTGAACTATTATTCGTGTTGTACTACTTTAAAATATAATGTACCATACCAATTTAAAACCATTCAAGCTTTGTTTTTATTCCCATGTGAGGAACCTATGAGACAATCCAAAACCTGTCATGCTTTGTTACTATTCACATGTGATGTAGTTGCATTCAGCAAATCATCCTTGGACATATTGTTCTCCCAGACTATCATCCATCTCGCCTAGACTAATACCCATTACCCCAGACTAATATCCATCTCCCCCCATAATAATATCCAAATGTTGACAACCTGTATTGATTGAACTAAAGAGATATACGTACGTAATCACATTCATTGAAGGTCAAACGGTCAAGTAGGGGATTTCTCTCGGCCAGACTAATTGTTTCATTGAGTGTTGACTATCCACGATCAATTTTGACATATTCATAATGGGACAACAATATTGAATCTTATACTGTACATTTCAAATATGGTACTAAGTAGTGGAGAGCTCACTTACGGTTAAAGACATCGGGAATATGCATTTGGTGATGATTCGATGATTTGGTGTTCATGTAGTGATCATATGCTTTTACCTCAAATTTATTGAGCCAAGCAGCTTGCTTCAATGATAGAAGATGGAGTCGGCCTAGCTTGAACACTAGGGTCTCCAGGAAGATTGTAGCACTATGAAACATACAAGTCAATTGGGTTATTAATGGTCCGTTCTTCATAAACTATTTATGGTGTGAAGACTTATTCGAAATCATTGGTGGTACTTATGGTGAACTCAACTACAGACCGCTGCAATGAGTCAAGCTTTAGAGACACTCTTGGCCAAGTCGTACACCGAGGTTGCAAGTGGGCGCTTCCTTGAACTCTCGTACCTAGGAGTCTTCAATGCTGACATCCACTTTGTAGGTGACATGAAAGACAAGTCATCATCTATGGGAACATCTTCTTGGTTAGTATGCTCCAAACTTGGCTTGAACCTCTCCTCAAAAGTCCTATTGACGGTTTCCTCAGTACTATGATCGACACTTCGCTCAACTCTCTCATCGACAGTCTTCCCAACAACCTCCCCAACCTTTTCTCAACAGTCTCTTCTGCAGTCTGTTGTGTTTGGGAAGCCTACGCGACAATTTTAGCCCGTCTTCTTCGGACATAAGTGATAGTCACCAAAGCCTTTTTCTTAACTCCAACAGTAGCAACCTCGATGACCATGTCTACAGATGCACCTTGACCACGTGTTCATCCTTCTACTTCTGGTCGATAATCTCTCCTTAGAGTTTGAACAAGTCCATCCAACTTGCCAACTCACGGTCAATGACAACACTCACAATCTCAAGCTGAGAAGCCACAAGTGAAAGTATAAAATAATAAAGGAATTGTCAATCCATACATGGAAAATTAGTATTAAGTATAAAGTTCAAAATAGAATTCATCACATAGAAGACAATAAAAAAACACTAGAGAACCAGTGTGAACATTTATTACAATTGGTGTAAACAATATTGGGTAACCTATTTTCAAATATCATTTGTCTTGCTCTCACAAAATGACTTCCCTCTTTTAGAACTTTGCTCGTCTTGATTTCCACTTACTTAACATGACCTCGGTGATCAACTTCAAAACCTTAAGATACACATATGATGTACAACATTCAGTTCACTCTATCCAACACATCTACGAACCCGTCATTTTAAGCTACACAAAAGTCATTTATATACCTGGTTTATATCAAAAGTGTCTAAATCAACTCTCTCCCTAACAACTGACTTTAGTTGCTGCATCCAAACCCGGATTTGACTTTGGCCCTCATCATCAGTAGGCTACTATCCCACCGTTCCACTTTGTCTGGACAACTACGATACACTTGGCCTCTCTGGCTTTGTACCAGTAGTTGTAGATAAGGGTTATGGAGGTACCCACGCCTCTCCCATTATGGAATTCCAAAAAATGTTCGTATAAGAAAATAGTAAATTCACCAATGTTAGGTCTGTACATCACAAAATATACCATAAGTGGTCAAGCTCAGAAAATACAATCATGAAGTGGACACTCCCTACCCACTTCCCGACTTCTTTTACCTTGTACTTTAGACGGTGCCATCTTCAAATCCCAGACTTATTTTGATGTCTTTGACCCTCCCAGCTTGACAACACTATGAACACCAGGCCTCCACACCTTTAAAGCAGCTTTCATAGCAAACAACTTCAAACAAAGGTTGTAGTTTCAGTTTCCTGGCATACCATGCTCTTCTTCACAAGTCTGCACCAGATATTTATCACACTTCTTGGGAAAGCAATATTTCAGTACCTACATGAAGCCCATATACAAGGGCCACATCCTCATCTTCGAGGGTAAACACCATGTGGTTCTCTCCTCACCGAAGATAAAGGTTCCTAGGTTGATATAACCTCCAACACAGAAGATGTGAGGTAGCGGATTTCTTGCAGGAGGTCTTCATCGTCAACTACTTCTTCATCTATATGTGCTTTAGCATCGACATGCAGTCAACATTTATGTTCATTTGGGATGTTCATTATCCAGATGGTTCATCACCCAACTTACGTCTCTTATCAATCACTTTAAATCTAGTCATCATTTAAAAACCATGAGTAAGAGAAAAGATTATTGTTATTCATCCTAGAACATGTTATTTATCTATGAACTAGTATCCACCCTATAAGAAACGAGTATCCAACATGAGACAAACTAGTATCCATCAAGAAACCAACTTGTATTCAACATCCAAGTACTACTATCCATCCTGCAACAAATTGTTATTTATGGACGAACTATTATCCATCCTACACCAAACAAATATTCAACATCTAATAACTTGTATCGACCATGAACACTAGTATTCCACGACTCTGAACTTGTATGCAACATCTAATAACTAGTATCCACTATGAAGAAAACTAGTATTCCACAACTAATAACTAGTATCCACCATGTACCGAACTAGTATTTAACAAATCTGAACTATTATTTCATTCAAGTATCAACCATGTACCGAACTAGTGTTCAACAACTCATAACTAGTATTCAGCATCCAAGAACTACTACCCATATGCAACCAACTAGCATTCATCGGATAACAACTGTCATTCCTTTGGAAGAAAAGAAAAGCAATCAAATAGCCACAATCAACCCGATAAGCCCAACCAAACCTACAACCCCAATGACATTAACAACTACACTGTTCGCTTTCCATGTATACGAACTCGTACCAACCCCACCCCCACCCCCCACCCCCCGGCCAAAAAAAAAGTATCCAAGAAACCCTAACTCATATTCGTAAAGAAAAACTATAATCAAAACGTAGGACACCAACCTGAATCAGAGACAGAGGTTGTTGTTGCTTGCACTCTCTCTTCCGTCGTTCATGTGTGGGCTTCTTCAGTGCTCTCTACCACTCACCCTAAAAATCTTATCATCTGTCTTCGGGTGTTGATCAGCTAACGGTAAAAGAATATTAGAATTTGTGTTAATCATCTCTTTCTTATTTTCACTTGCTGCTTCTCACACGGAACGAGTCGGGTTTCATAGGAGATGGAGGTCGAGTAAGCAAGCATCACTTCATGGGTTTGGGAAGAGAGAGGTGAGAGAAGAAAGAAACTGAAAATATAAAATTGATTATTGAATTGTGGGACCGGCCCCAATAAAGAGGATCAAAGCCTATATATAACTAGGTTTATCAATGTCATTGTGAAGATTAATGATCAATGCAATTCATTTACAAAAAAATATTAAATTTCAAATTTAAAACCATAAAATATAGTCAATACAAGGTATTAGAGGGGAAAAAAACACTTTGGAAATCCATTTACATGAATAACTATTACTCTTGAGTGAATTAGCACTGAATTAAGTGAATAATTACCATAGGCGTGAAAGAACACAGCAATAAAGTTTTTTCCGTAATCATAACCCAACTGACGAGCAAGACACTAAACTAGTCCAGACTATCCCATTACTATCACTCCCAAAGGAATACGGGGTGGATTTATAATTTAGGAAAGGGAATAGAGTGAACACTATCGAAGTGCATGTAGCAAACACTTGTTGAGTATGTGAATTCAAGCGTTCTAGAGAACCAGTCTCATGACTTTGCTGCACAGGCAGCACAGCACAGTAGCAGTTGGTAGAAAATGGGACTAGAAACAGAGTAGCACAGGAGAATAACTACTACTCGAGAATTATAGAAATTAAGGGATGTACATAACAAGCAACGTGATCTTCAGTTGGCAACTTCCAATTTCCACAGGCTTTCTAAGACATTTGACCTCATAACAAAACTTAACACTACCTACTAATAAGATCCAAAAACCAAAACCCAACATATATAACAGGAGTTGTTTTCTCCTTCACTCTCTGTTTTCCCTGTTGCTGCTTCACAGCAAGCATTCTTTATGATCTGATTTCCATACTATGATACTAATAAACACCACAGATATAGACTACAAAACGACTTGCCCACACATTCTTTTCTTAACAGAGTGGCATAGAACCATCAAACATTGTTGCCTTGTGAGTTGGGCGTGCTTTCATTAGTGGGCTCAATCCTCCTCATCATGAAATCCGGTTTAACCGTCGGGTCGTCCTCGTCATTGTACGCGTAGGCAAACCCGCCATGCCTCGTCATATCCATGCCCGCCACCTCATCTTCGCCGGAGATCCTCAACAATTGCAGCTTGTGTAGCCCATAAAACAACGGTGCCATCGTCGCGGTGACCCAACCGACGATCACCAGAATCTGCACGACCTGGGCAGCCAACAGCTTCCCTCCGCCGCCCATGAACAACCCGTACGGCCGGTCGGGCTTTCCTGGGTAAACCTCGTTCACAAAATGCTTGGTCGCAAACAGCCCGGTGAAGAGTAAACCCCACGCCCCGCACCCGCCGTGCAATTGCGCTGCTTCCAGTGGGTCGTCATATTTCAGCTTCTCAGCCAGCTTGTTGCAGCCAATGAGAACCCAGGCCGCTACGAACCCACACACGATCGCGGCCCACGGTTCGACCACCGAGCAACCCGAGGTGATCGCAGCGAATCCACCGAGCAAACCATTGCAGACATCGGTCACAGTCCAGTGACCGACCATCAGCCGCTTGCTGAAAAGAGTGGTCAGAGCAGCCGTGCACCCGGCCAACGTCGTGGTGACAGCTGTCCTGCCAATCGCACTCCACTGCCCGTAATAGTTTCCACTCTCGCCGTAGGCCCTCACAATCGTCAGAAACGAACCGGGGTTGAACCCATACCATCCGAACCACAGCAAGAACGTACCGAGCACAACCAAGGAAGCGCTGTGCCCGCGCAGAACCACGGACCGACCACCTCGGTCGAACCGGCCAATCCGAGGTCCTTCAACAAGAGCGCCCCACAACCCAGCAACACCACCAACCATGTGAACCACGCCCGAGCCAGCAAAGTCAATGACACCCGACCCGAACAATAGATCGCTGGTATCGGTTCGGGTCGCACTGGCCCACCCATCAGCAGACCAGACCCAGTGGGAGACGATCGGGTAGACAAAACCTGTCAGGAAGGAAGAGTAAACCAGGTAAGCAACAAACTGGGTTCTCTCGGCTATGGAGCCACTGGTGATGCCGGCAGCGGCGATGGCGAAAGCCCACTGATAGAGGAAGAAGCTGTAGTCGGCCTGAGGGGACGGGAAATCATGTAGGCCGAAGAAGTGCTTGCCGATGAAACCGTTGCTAGGTGCGCCAAAGGCGAAAGCGTAGCCGAAGAGGTAGTAGGAGAGGCCGCCGGCTGCAGCGTCGAGGACGTTGGTGAGCATTATGTTCATGGTGTTCTTGGCCCTGACGGAGCCCGCGCAGAGCATGGCGAACCCGAGCTGCATGGCGAAGACCAGGTAGGCAGAGAAGAGGAGGTAAGTGTTGTTGATTGCATAGTTTGTGTCGGAGAGCTGGCTGGAGATGGAGGAGAGCTGGGAGCAGAGGTAGGCTGCTGTTGCAGCTGCCTGGGTGGAGTTTTGGGTTGAGGATAGAAGAGAGGCGAGGTCTGTGGCCGAGCAAGTAGCTGCTGCAGAAGCCATGGTTTTTTGAGGTAGCTAAGAGAGTGAGAAGAAAGAATGGTGGGAAGAGAGTTTGGTTTGGATGTATATATAGAGAAGGTAAATAATCAGGGTGTAAGGGGAACAGGTGACAAGTTGACAATTGCTGAGGAGATCATCTGTTGTCCACATTTTTTTAAACCTGCAACAGTTAAATGTAATAATAAGTTAATCAAAGAATAATGATGATGCTTATAATATTACATGGTCCACATTTGGCAACCAAGTGAAGGTGCTGACCAGAAATTATTGATCGGCCGAGGACCTTTCTGTGCTTCTTCTTCTCCTTTGTTTTTTCCTTCTGTGGGAGTTTATGGATATGAGGGATGGGCAAAGATATCAGTTATAAAGCTGGTGTGAAGGGAACCACAAATTGGGTTTCACATCACACAGAAGAAGATAAGCCATTGAATAATGTAGTAGAGACATATGTGGGGGAGTGAATGTCTTGGCTTCTACCCAAAAGGACAACATAGTAGGATGAACCAAATTGTGAAATCGATCTGTGTTTGTCTTTCTTGAGAGCTGGACCAGTTCCAAGAATGAAGGTTCTCATATTGTCAGTCTGTTGTGGTATAGTTAAACCATGTTACAATTACCAAGTCACTATGATTTTATCATATGATCTTTTATTTGTTTTGGCAAAGCCTAATCTCCAGACAAACCATATGATTGGAGCAGTAACTCACTAGGGCACTATTCTGAAGAGCGTAGAATAACCTACTGAAATGGCAGAGGGTTAGTAGAGTGACGATTCATTGATATTGACATCATTATAGTAGACTTCCAATTCCAACACTTTTTTTTTTTTTTTTACAATCCAATTCCAACACTTCAAAGAGCCATTTCTGCTGGGGAGGGATTTAAATACGTTTTGTATGTAGTTGTTGGTGAGTTTTAAAAGTTCAATCACAAAGTTGAAATTAACTACCCCGATTTGTTCATTTATATAAAGCAGCAAGAATCTGTTGGCTCTTTTGCAAAAAAAAAAAAATAATAATAATAATAATAATAATGTTGCCAGTGACAAACTCAAACACACAATGTTCTGAATCTGATACTGACTAAAAGAAGTAAAAAGAAAGGAACTGTTCTACAAAATTCCGACAATTGGAATTAGGGGTAATGTTGTCAATATAAATTGTTACGCGGGTTCATATATCGGTTTAACAAATCATGTAAGGAAAGTGGGAAAATCATTAACACCAAATATATATAGTCTATTTTAAAAAAAAATCTCTCTACATCTAAATTGAAATAACAAATCATCTCTATATTACAAATAAAATGACAAACATCATTTCAAAATGCAACATTCAAAGGGAAGATCCAAACCTTGTACACTTGAATCCAACGAATAACATCTAAACGTTCATACTCAATCCAACAAAAAAAATTGTTAATTAATTCCATCAAAAGACTAAATAGTACATCAAGGGCTCAATTCCCTTATCTACGAATGAGATGAGAGATCTAATTGTCGTGAGACAAAGAGACAGTCTCCAATAGCCAAAAGAAGGTACCAACTTCTGCAGCTAATACTTCATCCAATTTTTGTGGTCTCTTCTCACAAAAGAATTATTCTATAATTTGATTTTTATTTCTTTGTATTTTCACAACGGCTTTGTTCTTGAATATCCTATAATTTTTCTGTAGGGAACTAGAAAGAATTATTCTATAATTTTTTTGGTGCAATTGTAGCATTAGTATAAAATCTTGTAGGAACTAGAAAGTTAAAAGTGGAGGATAGAGAATTTAGAAAACTATTAAAACTAAAATTGTAGGAAAGTCAATTAGCGGGGGGGATTACGTCTGATGCCAAGTTGTAGCATTTCTATTGACATAAATAATGCAGAAAGTATGAGGAATCAATATATAGATTGTCATTATTTGGAAAAATGAATATTTTCAAAAGAGAAAACCCCAACGCAACGTATTTTAATGAAATACCGTACAGTTTGAAGAGCTCATCAGAAATTCCAGCCAACGATTATTCAGTTACGTGCAAAGCAGGAATGGTTTGAAATGGAATGGCAGCATAAGGTATGTGTCACTTGCAGACTTATATAATTGAACACTTTCTATGCATTTGAATTTGGTCATTTTGAATGCAAGTGAAATACCAGAACTGATCTGAAACACACCAGATAATTCCAAATACATGAAATAGATAGTAGATTAGTAGTAGGTACTTTGACAAATGCACTCAACAGATAATTCCAAATACATTGCACTTAATCGAGTAATTAATGCTTTTACACAACTAAGCTTATCTCAAATACGTCGTAGGCTTTTTTTTAACTGCAATTGGAAGAAATGAACAAACAGCCCATTTCTATTTTCTAAATTTCTCAGTGAAAAGACAGCTGTATTTGGAGAACGGCAAAACTCTGGAATGCCAATAGGCAAATAGCAGATGGTGTTTGGTTACTTACCAGAAAAAGATGTGCAGAAATTTTACTGCTCCCAATGCGGCGACCCATTCGTGGTTGACTTATTAATGTCTACCCATGTTCCTTTCCTGGTGACATTTGTGATGATGCATCTGCAGGGGAATCTTCTGATCCTCCACTTTCTTTGACTTGCATGAAATGGTATTTGGATTTCAGATCTGAGCAAAGGATAAAGAAATAAATGTCCTAAACATTGAGCTAAGGACACAAAATGCCTAATATAGTTTGATTCCACATCTGAGTAAAAGGATGAAGAAGCAAATTATCTAATTAAGCAATGTGCTAAGGATGAGCAGATTCTAAGGAAACGGCACTGGCACAATTTCTTCCCCTGCTTCCTTTCCAGCAATAAACAAGTAAGTTGGAGAGGTACCACAACACAGCCCTAAATGTCACAATTTCAGTTCACTGGAAATCACAGCTCTGCTCCAAGTTATGCATCAAATAATCACAGGATTGCAACCCAGAATGCCAATCATCATTTCGTCAGCAGATTATGCTAATAGTCTTTGATAAATTTATGGTGGCAAGATATCTAAAACAAAATCCCCTTTTACCATGACGGCCAACACAAGCTTGGGAGAACCAATTGATAAAAAGTGTAAAATCTGTCATTGTTAGCATTAAGAATTAATGAAAGGTTTATGAATAAGAAAATTACATGCCCTCTCAAAGAACAAGAAGGCATTCAAGCACCTAGAATAATCAATCAGCCTTTTTCTTTTTAGATTTTAGCAACATAAACAGTAGGAAACAGGCAATTGGAAGCTTGAAAATAGTATTAAGTAAAAGAATCTCCTACCTCAAGAAGAGATATCGCATCGTCAGATTGTGGTTGCCCAAGTGTTCTTTATAATTGTTTTGTACAGATGAACCAGGACAAGCAAAAGAATCTGAATTTAATATAATAATAAAATTTCACATAAGCCCAAAGTATTGATGAAAAAGAAGTTTCCAGAGAGCAAATTATGATTTAAATAAGTGCAGAGAGAAACTAAACATGAATTATTAATCACCTTTTCTTACCTGTCACCAGGTTCATACATCATGAGATTGGGACTCATTACTTAAATTTCTGCAGGTTCTCATCACAGGCTGGAGAATTTCAATTGCTTAAAAAGATTCCAGAATGTAAAGCTCAGACGTTAAACAATATATTAAAGAGCCTTGGTTGGACAATGCGAAGACGTAAGAGTAGTTCCAAAAAGACAGATCTTCCCCAATTCAGTCCCTCACTAAGATTCGAGGACAGAAACTACAGTTTCTGGAATTACACAGTGGATAAACAGCTAAAGCAGCAATGGTACTCTTTTCAGATTTTGTATTCACTCCCATATCAAATAGATGATCAAACAAATGTCTAAAACAAGTTAAGCTATTTCATTTCTTCATAAACTTCCTGTGGCTTAACTATTGGTTCACTAACCATAAATGCTGTAAGAATAAGCAGGTTATATTCATGTTCTTTTTTCTCCCTAAAGTAAACGGATTCAATTCATTGGTTCCCTTGAATGACATAAAAACTTTTAAGCTCGACTACTGATCATTTGCAACCCATTCTAGTATGAAATTGTCTAGGATCCATGAATTCTTCTGATTGTTAAGTATGCAGTAGTCTAGTTAAAGATATAGCCCAATCCAAATTACATCAACGGTTGGAGAAACAAAAACAAGTTGAGGTGAAGTTAGGTGGAACCTAGAGTCAGCTGCTTCACTTTCAAAATTATCTAGAAGGCTTAGACCTTAGAACACTTACCTATAAATCTCAACACCTCGTCTTCCCAAACCAACAACCTTAACCATTATACAAAGCCTGTGGAAACATAGTTTCGAGCTGTATCCCAACTTCCGTAACATTCCCATTCCCTTTTTTGACATGTGAATACTGACAATCGTGTTGTGGGAGATCTCCATAATTATCTTTTCATCACCCTTCCCATTTTGACAAGGGGAAGAAAGCATGTTTGAGAACAAAGACTTCACTCAACAAACCGTTACCAGGATGAAAAAAAAAAATAACAAAATAGCGCCAACATAAATCTATTACCATGTTAGTAATAAGATTCTGCTACTTATAGGTTGTCCTACAAGTTGTGTTCAAACTTGCTGTAAAAATCAGATAATTGCAAAAGGATAAGGATGGTCAGGTTTACGTTCCTTTCCTATTTCAGCTTCAAGTCATCATCAAAGCAAAACATGAATAAGAAGTGACATTCAAGAACAAAAGTTGGTAGTAAATGACATTCTTATTTGCAGCTGCATACAAATTACACTGCAAAGTGGACATCTCAATTCTAAGAGAGTTCACCCATGCTGCTTCCAATTTTAATGAGGCAGAAATACTAAACTCTTCAACAATAAAATTAAGCTGTACTGACTATAAGCATAGTCAAGAGCAACACTGAAGTATGCATCCTAAAATGCAACATCACTTGTCCTCTGACTTCAGCTGCCATGCCAAAACCACAAGTCCCAAGGTGGTAAAAGCTGACAAAACTGTTGACGAGTAGCAAAGCACAAGTAGTACTCCTCTTAGAGACTGCATTCAATAGGTCCTAAAGTTTAGTAATGTCTTCAATGGGATCATTAGAAGAAGAATAGAGTAGTCAATTGAGGTCTCACCTTAGCTAGCAGTAACGCATTGTCATTGGCATACTGCAAAGAGCTCTCTGGAATGCTTTGAACACCCCGGCCTAGTTGCCATGAAAGGATTCTACATCCCAAATAATGTTTATTTTTTCAACCTTCTGGCTGAAAATATATTTTGAAAGAGAAAGTAAATCTCAATTGAAATCGTCCACTTACCCAAAAACAGCTCCAATGATAGCCCCGATATTAGCTTTCTCTGAAGTTATTGCAACCTGAAGGTCTCCAAACTATACAAGAATTCGCTTTTAGTTCCCGGTAGCATTCAACTGTAGATGGATGTCATAACAATAGAGCTATACCTTGAAAACTTTGGTATCTGTCATAGGTTCCTTATCAGTTGTTTCATCTATAGGAATGGCAACCAGAGACTTGCCAGTTGTAATCATTGTCTGTGCAATCTATAATATCGAAGGAATCCAACAATCAACATCGTCACAATTTTCTGAAAGCCAACATGTAACTATCCTTCTTCTAACATTCATGAGTAGAGAAAGCTGCTTCTTAAACACTAGACAGAAAGCAACAAAAAAAGGCTAATTGGCCACAAATAAATACCACCATGTATAGTTCTTTCAGTCTATTCATACCGGTATATCCCAAAAGAAATTTTCTGGGCGACATTTTGGCATGGCTTGCAGCAATATGCAAACAGTAAAACCACAAACCTTATTGATTCAGGTAGAGTACCTTCTGCAATTCACCCTGACCATACTGACCCATGGACTGGAATCTCCTTCCAGCAGATACCAAGCGCCTGCCCAACGCTAAAATAGCAAACAAATAAATAAAATAGTTCAGATCAGACAGCTAAAAGCAAATGTTCCCACCCTCAATTCTGAGTCATAAGTTTGCTTGCCTGATTTAGCTTTCCCGGTCAAGTTGCTCTCCATAAAAGGAAATTTACTAGCCAAAGTACGTGAAGTTGATGTGTCTCCTTGTTCCCATGCTCGAGACAGATTTAACAGGAGCTCTCCTAGTTCTTGACCACACTGAGAATAATGACCAACAGTCGGTGAGGAGACAATAGCATAAGTTTCTAGACTCTAGTAATAGCACAAGCATAGATAAACACGAGGAATATCCAATTAAGGAGTGCGTGCAAATTCAGGAAACTAGAGCCATAGCCGAGAGTAAAATGATACAATAACGAAACCATAGCCGTGAGAAAACCCTAACCTCATCAATAACAGGTCCATTCGAAAGATCAAACGCCGCATCATTAAGCTGCACACATTTGACAATTACACAAGAGCAACTCAGAAATTCTTCGATCAAAACTTAACCGGAGAAATCTCCGAGAACCAGCAGCCGAAGAAGGACAAAAGGGTATCACTCACATCCAACCGAAGATCGTTAGGCAATTTCCGGAAGTAATCTGATGGAAGATCAAAGCAATCCTGCAAGCCACCAGACGTAATAAAGCCAACGGGGAACCAAAACAGAACCAGAGATCAGAATGCAGGTCGATCAGCATGAACTTACGGAGAGCTGCTGTAGGAGAGACTGAATGGAAGAACCAAGGGACTGAGGGGAGTCTTCCGATGATTCAGTGAGGGCGAGCAACGGAGTGGTGGGAGGCTTTGATTTCAGAAGACTTCGGAGTTTTGGAGAAGGAAAAGGAGAAGCTAGAAGGTTAGGGTTACGGAGAAAATGACGGGGAATAGATAGAGAGATAGCGGAAGGGAGAGGGTGGAGACGGAAAGAACAGGACGTCATTGGTGATTGCCGATTGAGTTGAGCAGCTTAGAGCAGAGGGAGAGAGAGGGATTAAGGTGGCCGTTCGAATTTTGATTCTTTTGGTAGTTGTGGTCGTTACCGACTCTGGAAATGGATAATCTCCGGAAAAGAAAAGCGTTGTGGATAAATTAGTCATTGTACCATCTTTCCGAGTTCCGACAAATGAGTATATCAGGGGTCCAGATCGGGTGAGTAATTGATGGGTCAGTAACCTCTTTCCTAAATGTGAAAAAGGCAGTGCTGTAAAATTGCACTTACTTCTATTTATTGTTGATACTGATTTTTGACCGGACCACATCAGCACCTCATTCTCTCTCTTCGCAAAACATTTATTTTTCCTTCTCTTAATTTTTAACGGACGATTTCTCACTCGTTTTAAGTCGAAATTTAATTTTTTTTGCACAGTTATATCAGATTAATTGTGATGTTCAAAATGATATCCACTTTGATATTTTTTGGACACAAAAAAATTTGTCAGTTATTACCAGTCTATACCATAAGGTATTGACTGGTATTAAATAAGAGCATATCATATGGTATGAAAATTTTTGCCACATGAATATATATTTCGTTACCACCCAATACCATATGGTATAGTGTGGTAATATCAATATATATTTCGTTACCACCCAATACCATATGGTATAGTGTGGTAATATCAATATATATTTCGTTACCACCCAATACCATATGGTATAGTGTGATAATATCAATATATATTTCGTTACCACCCAATACCATATGGTATAGTTTGGTAATATCAATATATATTTCGTTACCACCAATAAAATGGGTAAAATCGTAAAACGTAGAATCAAAGCGTAAAATCGTAAGTTTTTGACGCACTCTCTAAAATAGCTAAAATATGTTAAGTACAACATATAGTATGTAAAATTTGAGTGTGTAGATTTTAGATAAGTGGATAACTACATGAAATTCATAATTAAAATTTGTGACAAAGAATAAGCTCCTGAGATGGGGGAAACTCAATGAAGATTGCTGTGTTCTTTGCCATAATGCTAGTGAAACAAGAGACCACATGTTCTTCTCTTGCGACTTTGTTCATCAGGTTGTGAATGGCTTTCTCAATATCGATCTGGTTTGTAGGGCGAGTTGGGCAGAATCATTGAGTTCTGCTTGCCAGTTTGTATTACGAGGCCAGGGGAACTTCTTTGGCGTAAAGTGGAGCATGCTGATTAATTACATCTGGCAGGAGCGTCGTCGGCGTTTACACCAGGAACCAGAGCGAGATTTTGGAGTTTTGCAGGACTTAATGAGACTGGATCTTCAGTTGCTGCATATTTTATAGGTTTTCTGTAGTTGCAGGTTATACATGTGGGAGAGGAGTTGAATGTTTTTGCATCTTTTCTTTCTTTTCTGATCTTTGCAGGGTGACCACAATGGTAGCCCTTTCGTTGTATTGATTTGTGAATTGCGAATTGTAATTCGGTTTACTTAATAGTAAAGGAAACTGATTCAACGAAAAAAAAAACTAATTTGCGTTAACTCAAAAGTAGAGATAACTCATAGAATCTCAACAATAAGCTCATAAACGTAGATCGTAACCCGTAAACGAGCTTGAGAATCCAAATTCTCATAAGCTGGTTTGAGTTTACATAATTACATACGATAAATTACCCATAAACTTTCATCGTAACCCAGGTAAGAGCCACATGTGAAAATTAAGGGAGAAGACTAATAGAAGGTCAGCGGTTGTTGAGAATACCATTAGGTGTCTTTTCAACCTAATGTGAACCCGCTATTTCGACACTAGTTATAGAACGAGTGATGAATCATGTTTTCCTTTTTTTTATTTTTTGCTGATATGTCTCCAAAATTACATCATTTTGGGCCAATTAGCACATTTTTATGAGATGATCAAAATCGTATAAAAACGCTTCAGAATCGCGATTTTACCGATTTTAAGTGATTTTATCGATTTTACCCATGTTTTTACCAGTTTTTGTGACTAAGCGACTTTAGGTAGAAACTGAAACGTTTTGGTGGCCTGGATACGTAAAAACGTAAGTTTTTACGTTTTAATGCGCGATTTTGACTACACTGGTTACCACCAAATACCATATGGTATAGAGTGGTAATACCAATATATATTTCGTTACCACCCAATACCATATGGTATTGTGTGGTAATATCAATATATATTTCGTTACCACCCAATACCATATGGTATAGAGTGGTAATACCAATGTTCAAGAAGACGCTGGGCGCCACCTAGGCGAGGAGGCACCGCCCAGCGCCCAGGCCGATTAGTCGTTGCATAGGCGAGATTAAACGTCGAAAAAAAAATGATAAATATGTAAGTTTAGAGTGCAAAATCAAACATAACATTCATAAGTTCACTGATTTGCAGTTCTGTAACTGACAATATTCAAGATAACAATCATTCAAGTAGTAACATAGAAGGAAACAAACATAATAAAACATGACAAATGTTAAGATAAGCCATAAAGGCGATGACAAGTTAATAAACTCCAAGTTGATCACTCATCATCTTCATCCATATAGTTCTTGTTAACCACAACATCCTCCTCATCCTCCTCGAAATGAATGGCCTCACTTTCCTCGTCATCTTCTTCTTCAGACTCAAACTCCTCATCGGCAAGGTCTCTCACTAATCTGGCACTCCTGCGAGGTTGAAGATTCTCACTAGCTCCCCTTGCCTCATCAATAACATTCCATGGAATGCCATCGAAACCTTCATCATCTTCATCACCAAACACATGCAAAGTGTGCCTATCTCCTCCCTCAAATAGAAAGCCTTGTGCTTCAATTGAATCAGAACTTATGAGAACATCAACATTCTTCCTCTCTTTTATCTTCCTTTGCTTGGACATCAATCTAGAGTTGAACTGGATGTACACTAGTTGATTCATGCGACTTGTAGTAAGCCTATTCCTCTTTTTGGTATGAATCTGCAAGGACAATTAATTATACAAGCTTCCATCTAATATCTACTTTTACTATATAGCATATGGACACAAATTCAAAACTACTAACCGACTCAAAAGTACTCCAGTTTCGCTCACAAGCAGAAGAACTTGAGGTCAATGACATAATCCTTATAGCCATCTTTTGCAAATGAGGTGTCTCACTTCCATACATTCTCCACCAAGCCACTAAGAAATTAATTAACTCTAAGTTAGTGAACGACACTAAATCATAAGTTACAAGGAAAGGTGGAAAGAAGTACTAACCAGGATTGTAGTCAAAGTTTACACAATTCTTTGCCATCTTTTTTCCAAAGAGTCCTTGTTTCCTTTGAAATTTTGTGAACTCAATGTTCACCACCTCATCATGTATATCCTCATCACAACCATGGTAGAATTGCTCAACACAAGTGATCAATGCTGTTGTAATGTCGGCATTGTCAAATATTGAGGAGTCGGCATAACTGTAGTGAGGATTGAGAAGATATGCCGTTAGATGCAATGGAGCATCAAGTCTGCCTCTCATCTTCTTCTCCACAATAGCAATGACTTCTTTGTAACGAAGTTCTTCATTCTTAAACGCCTCCTTTATCTCTCTCTTTGCCTTCAAAAGTTCACCATACACAAAACCCATAGAAGGTTTCACATCCCCATCCACTAATCGAAGAAGCTTCACCAATGGCTCAAAGACTTTCAAGCAGATTTCCACACCATTCCAAAACCTAACACTAAGAACCGTGTCATAAGCTTCCTTGCCTTTCTTTGAACTCTTCTCCTTAATATTTTCCCACTTCGCATCCACCACCATCTTCCTCAAAGAATCTTTCTTATCCAACAAACTTTGTAGAGTAAGAAATTGAGAAGCAAATCGAGTCACACCTGGTCGGATGATCTCTCTCTTTTTGGTGAAGGATCTCATGCATTCCAAGGTGCGGTGGTGGCCATATATGAAGATGGTGAACCCCTTAGCTTGATCTACAATTTTCTTGAACCTTGGTATGTTGCCGATTCCTTGGAGCATCAAATTGATGGTGTGGGTTGCACAAGAACTCCAAAATATGTTCGGCCTCTTCTCCAACAAGAGGGCCTTTGCTGCCATATTGTTGGAAGCATTGTCTGTCACCACTTGCACCACATGTTCAGCTCCAACTTCCTCTATTGCATTGTCCACTAGCTCAAAGATTACTTCACCTGTGTGAGAAATCGCTGATGTGTCCTTCGACTTTATAAAGCTGGTTCCCTCGGCACAATGTGTGACTATGTTCATGATGCTTCTCCTCTTCATGTCTGTCCAAGCATCAGTCATAATAGAGCAACCATTCTTTTCCTTCTCCGCCTCTCGATCACTTAACAAGCTCTTAGTCCTTGCATACTCAGCTTTCAACAAAGGCTCTCGAAGCTCATACTGTGTAGGAGGCTTCAATCCAGGACCAAATTGACCAATAGCCTCAACCATTTGCTTGAACTCATCATTCTCAATGGCATTGAATGCAACAGCTACAAAATAAATTCAGGAGTAAATTAGAAAAACAAATTGTGCATCAAAGAAAGAAGTAAAGGGTATAGCTATTCACTAACCATGTGTGTACACCCATTTTGCAATATATTGATGGACTTGAAGTGTCCTCTCATTAAAAAGTGCTTGATTTATCTTTTGTTGCTGAAATGATGCACTCGAAGACAAGCTAGGATCAATGGCACGTGCCCACTTGTCTATAGGACCTAACTTGTGAGGTTCAGAGCTACCTGCACAAGTAAGGTCTTCTTCCTGTTGTCCACCGGAAGAGACATTAACATCACTTCTCAAACCTAGCTCACGAACAACCTTATCCTGCTTCTTCTTTTCTGTTCCTTCCAACCAATTCAAGCATGCCAATTTAGCTTCATCTGGGCAACTCTTACACTTGGCAACTCCACCACCAACCTGAGCTATGTGTTTCTTGAAACGGTTAATTCCTCCTGAGTTTACATTCTTGCAAAAGTTACACATGACTTTATCCTTGTTGTTTGGATCGACAAGCTTTCCATATTGCCAACCAATATCATCAGACTTCCTCTTCAAGGAGTTCGCATTTTCAACCGTTGAAGCCGTGACAGTAGCCTCTGTTTGCTCCATTTAACAAAAAAACAAGCAGCCCCCTGTAAGCACAAAACA